AAAATCGAAAAATAAAAATTATTATTATTATTATTATTATTATTATCATTATCGTTATTACGTTTCATTCGATTTGAGAGAGAGAGAGAGAGAGAGAGAGAGTGTGTGAGTGAGCGTGTATTGTCACAGTGTGAAAATTTTTTTTAAAAAAATTAAATTTAATCCCGCATCAAAAAAAAAAAAAAAAAACAAATGGATGATTAACGGGAAGTCAAAGGTCAAAGGTTTTTACCATTAATGCAACGACAAAAAAAATCCCCTTTCTCTCTTTCTCCCTTCCTCCCTCTCCCTCCCTCGCCATATATACATACATGTGCTGCTAAATAAATGTTTTATTATTTTTACTCGATGATGATGATGATGATGACGACGACGTGTCTTACCAACCCTCGAGAGATAAAAAAATAAAAAAATTTTTTAATTAAATTTAATAAAAAAAAAAAAAAAAGTTTTTCATTTTTTATTTTTTTATCTTCCGTCGTGGCGGTGGCGCTTTTTGAAGAAACGAAACGAAATTTTTAAAAAGTTTTTAATTAGAATTAAAGTAAACTTTTTACTATAACCGCAAATTTTATTTAAATTTTAAATTTTTACTCTCAAACTTATTGTTTTTATCATCCCGTTAAACTTTAACCCGTTTTTCTTTACTCTCGTATATTTTATACAAATTTAAAATTTTTATATGTGACGTCATCGACGACGTCATCGTCGTCGTCGTTTAACGTTTCCGTTTTACAACGACAAAATGTTTTCCTTCCTTCCTTTTCGTTTTTCCTCCTACTACTTCCTAGTAAGTAAAACTCAATTGCAAAAAAAAAAAAAAAAAAAGAAAAGAAATTAACGAGGTCGAGATTTTCCTTTCCGCCATTTTGATTTTTTACTTTTAATTTCTAGAAAAAGACAGATGTATAATTATTATTCTCTGTCTCTCTCTACTTTTAAAAGCTTTTCTTTTTTTTTTTTTTATAAATAAAAATAAAAGATTTTTTTGTTTCTTATTATTATTATTATTATTTTGTCGTCACATTAAAAAAATTCAACAACCGCATTGTAATAATAATAATAATAATAATAATAATAATAATAATAATAATAATAATAATAATGATGATGATGATAATGATAATAATAAATTTTTTTTCGAAAAAAAAAAAAAACAGAATAAAAAATAAACGTTTCAGTTTTTTTTTTTTTTTTAAAATTTTTTCCTCAACGTTTTTCTTTTTATATCATGCATTCATTCAATCATTCATTCATTCATTCATTCATTCACTCATTCGTTCGTTTTCCTTTTCATCTCATTCTCTCTTTTTTTACATACAAATAATTAATAAAAAAAAAAAAAAATTCATGTATACACACACAAACAAACACATACGCATTATCATTATTATTTTTTTTTAACTTTAACCGGGGCGAGGAGGGGGAGGAGGTGCGACAAAAAAGCGGAAGGAGACTCGAGGAATATGATAAAAAAAAAACAACGAAAGTATGTGCAGAACAAAAAACAAAACGAAAAAAACAAAAAAATTTTCTCATATGCGATATAAAGAGACCATTGGAAAAAAATTCTTCAAATCTCTCCAGTTACATAAAAAATAATGAATTTTTTTTTTCGTAGAATTTAACGATCTCGACAGAGAAAAACGGAAAAAATGTAGGCGTAGGCGTGAAGGGGGAGGAGAAAAAGAAAAAAAAGTGGAAGAAGAAAAAGACAATCGATGAACATATAAATTATGGCAATCGATCGATCCACATTCTCAACTCTCATCTATTAAAAAAAAAAAAAATTTTTTTTTCCCCATTCATCGAATCAATCAATAACGTTTGTCTGTGCGAATAATGAGAGAGAGAGAGAGAGAGAGAGAGAGAGAGAGACAGAGAGTGACAGAGAGCGAAAAAGAGAGCGAGAGAGAGATGAAAAAAGGTTCAAATTTATTTAAAGCAATTAATTTAATTTCATTTGAAAATGTCAATCTTGAAAACCTTTTTTGATAAGAAAAGGCTAAAAGGTTATTATTTTATCCTTTTAAAATTCAAACGGATTCAAATAATATTTCAACGGTTTTATTTCTCTCTCTTTCTCTCTCACTCCTATCCTCTGTCTCTCTCTCTTTCCATATTTTCGAAAGAAAAAAAATATATCTGGAACATTTTTTTTTTTAAAAAAAAAAAAACAACCGGAGATTTTTAATTTGATATCAGAGAGAGAGAGAGAGAGAGAGAGAGAGAGAGAGAGAGAGAAAGAGAGAAAAAAAGAGAGAAAAAAAGAGAGAAAAAAAGAGAGAGAAAAAGGAAGAGAGAGAGAGAGAGAGAAGGGGGGGAAACGTTAAACGTTTCAGATTTTATTTTCAAAAACGTTACATGGAGGTTAAAGTTCATACATGCATAAAAATATTATTTACTGGAGCTTGTTTGAAAAATATACAATATTTCAGGGCGCTAGGGAGGGGGGGTGAGGAGGAAATGGTGGAAGAAATAAAATAATAATAATAATAATAATATAAAACAACATTCGCAACGTTTAAGTTTGTTTTTTAAAATGGCGGAGAGTTGATAATTAATTAATTACAAAAAAAAAAAAAAAATACGAAGAAAAACTTAAACGACAACAACAGCAACAGCAGCGGCAGCAAAAACGAGACAAATCGCACGAGAAAAATGAAAAATTTCCGTTCCAGGCGGGAAAAGCGAAAAAAAAAAAAAAACTTTTGCCGGAGAGTTTCCTCCTCCCTCTCACCCCCCTTTCCCCCCACTAAACTAATAGCGCAAAAAAATTTTTTTTTTCTTTTTTCCTTTTATCTCTTTCGTTTCCCTTTTAACTCACCGAAAATTTTTTCTCTTTAAAAAAAAAAAAAAAAAAAAGTCAAAAGGCTAAAGCTGGAAAAAGAGAGACGGAAAGAGAGAGAATGAGAAAAAATGCTGGAGAAAAAAAGAAGGAGAAAGAGAGACAGAGAGAGAGGGTTTTAAAAAAAAAACTGTTAAATGATTTTTTTTTTTTTACGGAAAAACGTAATTAAAACTAGACTCTTTTTTCTTCTTCTAACCTTTAATCTTTCTCTACGCTCTTCCCCCATACACAATTATTATTATTATTATTTTTCCTTACGTTTTATTATAAAAAAAAAAAAAAAATGAGATAAGATAAAAAAAGTGATGGAATTTTGTTTGGTTTATAAACTCACCCTCGTCGGCGGATCTTTTCCTCCCAGATGCTGTTGAGAATCGCACAAAGCGCAAACTTCACCCAAAAGCTCGTGAGGCTTTATAAACAACCTCGAACTCAATAGGAAAGCAAATAGGTAAGCACGATCCGGATAATACTCGGCTGTGGGTACCATGTGCTGTATTAAACCTTCCATTGAACCGGAAACCAAATTTCCATCTCTGTAAACGAGAGCCTGAAAAGAAAATAATAATAATAATAATGTAAAATACAATATTACAACACGCGTATGAGTAAATAATTTCATTTATCCTTTTTGAATGCAGACAAAACGACAAAAGCTAATAAATAGAAAAAGAGAGAGAGAAGAAATACGTGCGTGGATGGGTGGGTATGTACACGTACAAGCGGAAGAGGAAACAAAAAAGAAAAAAAAAAAAGATCAAAAAATGGCGTCAAAATCTTTTCTTTTTCTTTTTTTTTCCAAACGGATAATAGAATAAAATAACGGATAATAGTAAAATACGTGAAAACTCTCTCTCTCTCTCTCTCTTTTTACACATGTTACGAAGAAGAGGAAGAAGGATAAAAAAAAATATATATATATATAAAATTTAATTTAAACCTGAGCCTCGAGTTTTTTTTTTTTTTTTTTTTTTTCTATTATGAATAATTCAAACAAAATTAAATTTATCAAGACGGTTTATTTATTTTATTATTATTATTATTATTATTAAATATAAAAAAATTTATTATTCACTTCCGGTTTGATCGTAAGGAAGCACGGCAAAAAAAAAGAAAAACGAAAACGAAAAAATTAAATAAAATAAAAACGAAAACGGAAACGGAAACGCGAAAAAAAAAAACATATAAAACTATCATTATCATCATCATCATCATCATCATTATTATTATTAATAAAATCTTTTTTCCTTATTAATATTCAAATAAAATAAAAATTAAATTAGTTAATATTGCGTTTATAAAAAATAAAAAAAAATCATAAATAAACATTAGAATTCAGGACCGTAATTAGATTTTAATTATTATTATTATTATTATTATTATTATTATTATTATTATTATTATTTTGTTTAATAACAACGATAATAATGGGGCGCCTTTAACAAATGTTTAACAAATATATATATATATATATATCGAACGTTACGCCGCGTGCAAACGATAAAAAAAAAAACCGGATGTTCATGACTGGAAGTTGTTGTTCGTTCGACTGTAAATTTATTCAAAAAAGAAAACTTCGAACCGGAATTTGTAACCGCCATGTTTTATTATTAAATAAACGTGCGAAATCCCAAAAAAAAAAAAAAAATCAACAGATTGATTTATGAATTTCTTTTCTTTTTTTTTCGTGCTGGAAATAATAGGAGGTAAGCAATATAAATCCTCCCTCTTCCTCCCACTCCCCCTCTTCCTCCCATCTTTCTGCAGGAAAATCCTTTTTTTTTCACGTCGAAAAATTTCCCACGGGAAAATTCTCTCAGTTTATTTTAGGGGTTTAAAAAAAAAAAAAAAAAAGAAAACCTTTCGCGACGACGACGACGACGGCCAACAATGATAACAAGACGTAGTAATTCACATCGAGAAAGGAAAAGGCGACATATTCTTTTTTCCTCCTCTTCCTTTTCCTACCTCTCCCATCCTCCCTTCATCCCCTTTCATCAGTTTTTTTTGTCTGCTTTGGAGAAAAAAAAAAACAATGAAAAATTTTATTCCCCAAAAAAATTTTCGATATTAATAATATTTTCTTTCCGTCGTTTTCTTTATCCTTTTTCCACTTACTCTTACTCTCACTCTCTCTCTCTCTCTCACACACACACGCGCACACACATTTTATCAACCCGTTTCCCCTCCCCCGTAAAATTTTTCCTTCCGCGTTACAAACAAAAATTAAAAAGGACACGACGATAAGGAAAAAATAATTTTCCATTGCCCCCTTCATCCTTCACCCTTTCTCTCTTCCCCCCCCTAAGAAAAAAAATAATTATTTTTCCCAAAAAAAAGGGGGGGCAGATGGGAGGAGGGCAAAAGGAGATAAATTATAAAATTTTTTTTTTTTCTTTCTTTTCCATTATTAGAAAAAACGAAATATCAGAAAAGACTCACTCGTACAAATCCACGCACGAATACCAACAAACAAACAAAAAAAAAAAATTTCAATGTGTCTAAAAATCAAAATTGCCAACATGTAAAAAAAAAAAAATATGAAAAACTCTTGATAAAAGAAAAAAAAGAAAAGAGAGAGAGAAAAACAAAGAGCGAGGGAAAAAAAAAGAAAATTAAATTCGTATATGCGAAAACTAAAAAAGAAATGGAATGAGAAATAGAAAAATAAAAAGAGAGAGAGAGAAAGAACAAAAGGAAAAAAAATACAAAAATACAAAACAAAAAATGAAATCACAACACGCCCCACCCCCCTCTTTTTTTCTCCATGTTTCCCCCCCCACCGCTTCCTTTAAATGTTATTTTTTTTTTTTTTTCAAATGGGATCCGTGATGACGATATACAATGTAGGCGATATTGATTATTGTCATGTAATAAATATTAATAGTATTGAAAACAATAATGTAAGACAAAGACAGACAAATAAAAAAAAAAAGGAAAGGAGGATAAACGAGCAGGCGCGCGCGAGAGAGACAGAGAGAGTGAGTGAGAGAGAGGGAAATAAATTAAAATACCGATAAATGTAACATTTGCCGTTTTTTTATAAAAAAAGAAAAATTGCCTCCTCTGACGTCAATTGAATAATAATAATACTATTGAAATGTGGGGAGGGAGGAAGGGGGAGGAGAAAAAAAGGTGGGAAATTTAAAAAACATTTAAAATTCGTAAACACACAATTGAAAAATGTAAATCCTTTTTAAAAAAAAAAAAAAGAATTGAAGTTTATATATATATATATATATATATATATATATATATATATATATATATATATATATATAACAAGGTGACAACAATAAAAAAAAAAAGAAAGGGGGGGGAAGAAGAAAAACTTTCCCGTGACGTCATCATTACTTGATAAAAAAAAAAAAGTTTCCAGTTACCCTTGTATATAATCTTGAAGAATTAAATGGAAAAATAAAAAAACATGGAAAACGTTTAAAAAAAAACTCTCTTTCTCTCTCTCCCTCTCTCTCTCTCTGTTTTTCTCTTTCTCTCTCTCTCTCTCTCTCTCTCTTTAAGTTTAAATCCGTGAAAATGACAAACACAAATTGAAGTCACAAAACGAGAGAGAGAGAGAGAGAAAGAGAGAGAGAGAGAGAGTGAAACAAGTTAAATTTTTTCATCAGTTTCATTCAAGTGACAAATTGACTAACCAACTTTGAAAAAAAAAACATTCACATAAATCAAAGGAAAAAAAGGAGAAAAAAAAGGAATAGAAAAGGAAAAAATATATATTTGTTAAAAAGGTTCCTACTACTACAAATATTTATTAAAAACGTTCGGTTTCTCGTTCTCTCTCTCTCTCTCTCTCTCTCTCTCTCTCTCTCTCTCTCTCTTTGTCTCCATTTCTTTCATTCCTATTTGAAAATAAAACAAATCGAACGTGAAAGAATTTAAAAAAAAAAGGAAAAAAAAGGGAAAAACTTACAATATCCTTTTCCGGTGTGGATTCTTGAACGCTTTCTAAACTCGAACTATATTCTGTTAATCCACCATTTGATGCTCCCAATGTCGTCTGCGGCAAACTCTGTAATCACCAAAAAAAAAATATTTTTTAATCTCGTCGTGGCATTAGAAATAAAATTTATATTTTCAAAATGAAATAAATAAAATTTCACAAATTTATATTTTGAACTCTGAAAAAAAAAACTCAAAAAGTAAAATGACGACATAAAAAAATAAGAAAGAAATTCTTTTATTACTACTCCATTAAAATGTGACTTTTTTTTTTTAAAGTATAACGCTTTTCACGAAACGAAACGACATGTTTGCCAACGTTTTAAAACAAAAAAAAAAAACAAAACAAAAAAAAACAAACTTCGAAGAATAAAATAAAATAAAATAAACGACAGAGTTTTAAAAAAGGGGGGAGGTAATAAAGAGCGAAATCATTCGATTGAAATCAATTTAAGAAACAAAGCAAGCGAGAGAGAAAGAGAGAGAGAGGGAAAAAGAGTGAAATCAAAACCATAGAAAGAGAGAAAAAGTGAGACGCAAAAGAGAATGAGAGTGGGATAGAGTGAAATAGAAAGGGAAAGAGAAAGTGAGAGAGTGAGAGGTAGGGAGTAAAAGAGAGAGAGTGAAAAAGAGAGAGAGAGAGAGAGAAAACATAAGAAAGAAATGTGACGTTTTAGTTTTATTTAATATTAATTTGAAAAAAAAAGAAAAACCTTTCAAAAAGGCAAGCAAAATCCTTTCACTGTATTTAATGACCTTTTTACCAAAATTTAAAACAACCAATGAATAATACAAAAGGAAGAAATAAAGGACGGGGAGAGGGAAGGGGAGGAGATGAGAGAAGAGAAGATTTTTCCCTCCGTTTTTCCTGGAGGCTCGGTCATGGACAAATAAAAAAAAAAAAGGAAGAAAAAAAAGGACCGAACTCGTTAATTTTATGAAACTTTTTGTTTCGTTCACACATTCATTCATTCATTCATTCATTCATTCACTTAATAACCTTTCGCACGTTCTCCCCTCCTCCCCCACTTTTTCCTTCCCAGAAAAAAACAATAATAATAATAATAATAATAAGGAAAAACTCATTAAGCGAGATCAATAAGAAACAGACTTTCCGCCATTATGAAAAAAAATAAAAAAATTTTTTTTTTTTTTTTAAATTGTTTTTGCCATAATTGTTTATTTTTAATAATGATTATTATTATTATTATAGCGCTATAAAAAAATATAAAGAACGTTACGTTTTCCCTTTTTTTTAATTTTTTTTTTTTTAATAATATAAAAAAATTTATAAAAAATAATAATAATAATAACGCTTTTTTTTTGTTGTACAGACTGTAATTTCTCATGGAAAATTCTGGAATTTCAAAAAAAAATTCCGTAGGAAAAAAGAAGAAAGGAAAAGGGTAAATTAAAAGGTGAATTGGAAAGGTGAGTAAAGAGGCAGGAGAAGGGAGGAGGAAGGAAGAGGGGGAAGTAGGGGGGAAGAAAGGAAAAAACGCGACAAAAATTGATGCTAAGACTTGGAAAATCGAAAGGTTTCTCTTAATT